CTCCTTCCCATGCACCTCTGCCCCCTGTGCCCTCCACTGCGCATCCCTCCTGGACCAGCCCACATTTTCCTCACTGCCCCGTCCTCCCAGATTGTTCTCCCTCACTGCCCTTTGGGGGAGCCCAGCTCACCCCAGAGCTCCCAGCCAGGGGCTCTGGGAGAAGGGGCAGGCCTGAATCCGGAAGGGACTTCCAGATTTGGGTGGAAGTACAGGTCTGCCTGGGCTTTGGGGTTTCCTCCCCCACCCCCACCCCAGCTTCGCTTCTGTAGCTATAGATAAGAATGGTAGTACCCACCTCACCTCTTGGGGCATTTGGAGGATGGCATGAGGATTCCTGGTCTGGAAGCTTGGGAAAGGCCCTAGGATCCTGTGAGGGTAGTCCAGGCCCTAAGGAGACCTGAGGGAAAGAAACCTCTAGAAGACTGCTTCCTAGTCTTCCCCGTGCCTATTAGGCCCTGGCACCCTTTCTCTGCACTCAGGATCCCCACCACCACCACATACATTGACTGGAAACGTGCCTCTAGCTCTCAGCACCGCATCGGGAAGCACCCCACCCACAGTGGGAAGGTCTGAGAGTCCATCCTCCCGCAGAGCCTCCTTCTCAATGTCCAGGATGACCCAGCCCTGGTCCCACCTCCTCTCTCGCCTCCTCGGTCACTGGGGCAGACTCCCTGCTGCCACTCAGGTCCCCAGCCCGGAATTCTGGGCAGGAGGCTGAGAGCAAGGGGCTACCCTGCCCTCCTGGGTGGGCTGGAATCCTCCCGCAGCCTGCCTCTCCTCAGACACCAGGGGGTGGCAGGTTTGGACAGCTCCCTGCAGGCAGGGTCTAGGTCTGAGGGGCCCAGGGACAGGGAGCCTGGCCTGGGGTCATCAGGCGCTGGAGGGCCATGCCTAGCCCAGCATTGCCACCAGCCTCCCAGAAGCCTTGGCTTTCCTGCACTGAGATGCCTGGTGTGTCCAGGACCAGGGGAGAGTCCTGGGGGCTTCTGTCACTGGGTCCCTCCCCCAAAGCCACCCTGGATTCTAGTCTGACCACAAGACCTTGGGCAAGTCACTTAACCTCTTCAAGCCTCGGTTTCCCCAGTAATAAAATGGAGTTTATAGCACCTTCCTCTGGGATGGTTGTGGGGTTCAGTGAAGGATGTGTGGAAAGCCCCGGGGAACAGTGGGCTGGGCACAAAGGGATGGCTAGGAAGTGGCAGGCATATTAACATCAGCCCTAAATCAGCAAGTGCTGCTAACCCTTGGCCCTACACAACAGGGAAATGGGGCAGAGCCTGCCCAGTCACGATTGGTCAGTATCAGTCACCATCAAACCTGGGGTGGAGTGGCAGCTGCCCAAGGCAGCCGGCCCCGGGCACAGGGCCAGCCCTCTGAGCATTTGCAGGCCTTCTAAAAAAGTTTACCACTCGGGAAAAAATTACCTCCAGAACACTGTAGGAAGACAGCAAAATCAAGATGTGTGAAGATGTAATTAAATGTCTGCATAGCCTAACATAATTTCAATGTTATTTTTAAATTTAAAATGAGAAAACAGTTAATTATATTTGTGAACAATTTATGGGATAGATTTTTTTTCTCACTTTGCAAAGTTTTTCCTCTATACTCGATGACTCCTGGACAATTTAGACAATTGTAAATTAAATGAATTTCTTGTAGCCAAAAATGTCCAAAAGCAAGACAATTAAATTTTCTTTTAACAATTTTTTACAGGAAAAAACAGTTATGAATGTGGAATGTGGTACAGATTCAGGCACTTGCTGTGCTGTCAGGTCTGGCCTCCAAAGCCAGAGGGCAGGACCTCTGACAGCTCAGGGCCGGGGGCCTCCTCCATTCCCAGGGGCGAGGCCCAGGCTCAGGTGGATGGGACGGGGGACCCAGCTTGGCCCTGCTGCTGCTCCAGGGCCCCTAATGGCTATGGGCCCTTTCTTCTCTGAGGCCTGGGGAGAATGGACCTGGAATAGACGGGCAGGTCTCCTTCCCATGAACGATAGGGTCCTTGAGGCTCACCCCAACAGCCCTCTCCCAGTCCTGTTTTCTGGGGTTCTCTGGCCTGGGCCTTCCTGGCCTTCCTCCCCCACCTCCTCCTGGAAGCATTGCAGGCTCTCCAGGCCATGCCTGGCTGCTACACATGGTCCTGGGGTAGAGGTCTCCTAGTCTCAGGCTGGATGTCCTGAGGGCCTGAGCCCAGGAAACCTACCTCCCAACCCCCCACTTCTGGGACCCCAGTCATCCACCTGCTTCTAGACCCAGAGGGCAGCAGGTTGGGCTCTGGCAAGTGTGGCCGGAGCCGCCTCCATCTGAAGGTGCAGTGGCTTTTTAGATCACAGCCCACATGGCTCAGCAGGATCCTGAGTGATGGGGGTGGGTGGGACAGCAAGGTCAGAGTGGTGACTGTGGCTAAGCCATGTGACTACCTCTGATGGAGCTCAGGTCCCAGCAGTGGGGGCCCTGGCCTCTGCTCCACCAACCCATCCTCCCTGCAAGGCGTTCAATTCCCAAATCTGACCATGTCCTCCCCTACTCAGAACTCTTCCATGGCTCCCGTGCCCTCATGAGAAAGCCAAGCATTTGGTGCCTGGGGTGACCCAGCCTTGTTCCCCACCTGTGCTCCACCCTCACCAGAAGTGTCACCATTTCTCAAACTCTCTGGGCTGTTCTGTGCCTCTGTAGCTCTGGCACCCATTATCCACAAATATCCTGCTCACTCCTCAAGGCCCAGCCTACTCAGCCAGCTCCTACGGCCCCCAGACCTACAGACCCCCAAGGGTAGGGCAGGTCTGTGGTGTCAGGGTGCCTATCTTTGCCCAACTCAGGTGCAGCCTCCAGCCCTGAGGTGCCCTGACTGTTTGGGAGCAAATAAGCACAGCAGCAGAACCCAGAGCCTCACATGTGTTTTAAAGTTTTGGGGTGAGATTAACCTCCAGCGACTGCTCTGTGCTGGCCTGGAATCCGCCCCTCCCCAGTCTCAGAGGCAGGGGAAGCTCTGAGAGGTTCGCTGACTCCTGCAAAAGGACCCCAGACTCTGCTCTGAAAATGTGTGAAGGTGGAGGCTGGGGAGTGCCGCTGTCTAGGAAGGCTGCCTGGAGGAGGTGGCTCTGGGTGGGCCTCGGAGGAAACAAGCCCCTCCAGGACTCTGGGGCATGGGGAGGGCATGCAGCGGGGGCACTTTAGGTCCTGCGCGCCTCCCCCCAGCTCCCAGTGCAGAGTCCAGAGAACAGGAAGAGCCAAGAATGGCTGGGAAGCTGCCCCTCCGTGGTGCTGTCAGCCCCCACCCCCAGCCCTGGTGGTCTGCGGTGTCCACCTCTGACCAGGACCCTTCTTCCAGGCTCCCTGAGCCATTTGCGGCCCTCTGGGGGTGTGGTCTGCCCTGCCTGTGGTCCTTGCTGGGCCAGGACCCTCCCTGGCCCCTCTGCCCGCCTGCAGGACCCTGAGGACAAGGGCCTGCCACTGCGTGCGGCTGCTCTGGGGGCCCTGTCCGGACGTGGAGGACGCGCCACAGCGGGTCGCCAGTGAGACGACCCCTGCAGGCAGCGCTGCCGCTGTCCTCCACTCGGACACGACCCTGGCCGCCAGGCCACGCAGAGAGGAGGCGGGACGGAGCGCCCCCTGGTGGCGATCAGGGGCTGCAGCAGGGACCCTGAGGGAGCCGGCCCTGGGCCGCAGGAGGGAGGGGGGAGCGTCCCCCAACCCTGCCCCTCCAACTTGGCCTCCTGGGGTGATATTGTCCCATCATCTTCATCAGCAGCATGATGCTAACAGTCTTTCTCCTCTTGTGCGCTCCCCACCCTGCCCCAGGGCCACACAGTTAGCTGGTGTGTGTAGCTGCCCGCCTGGGGTGCCCAGGGGAGGTGAACCAGCCTGAGGACAGGCTGGCTGTACTCGGGAATGTTTGTGGGGACACAAGAGCCACCAGTGGGGGCGGGCAGCAGGGGCACCTCCAAAGGCCAAGGGGTGTGGGGTTGGGCAGGGGGCCCTCTGGACTGAGCTGAGCCTGCAGTGGGAGGGAGCCCATTAGGTGGGGCTTTCCTCTCTCACCACCCCAGTGCCACCTCCCAGAGGTCAGGCAGGGCAACTCTCTCTGCCCAGAGCCTCCTGGGCCCCTTGGATATATTGAGCTCCAACCCAGGCCCTCCATCCTTTGACCTGGTGGCCTGCCTGGTGGGGGTCTGGAGGCTGCATCTGGGTCCTGAGTACCTCTGGGGGGCCCAGCCAGGCCTAGGGACCCTGCCTTTTACCAGAAGCTTGAGGGTGTTGGAGATCACTGACAGCCTCCCCCCAGGCCTGTGCATGGCCCAGAGAGAGTGGTGAGGCAGGCACTTCAGACCCAGGTGTGCCCGGTGCCTGGCAGCCCCCCAGCCTTCCTCCAGCTGCCGCTGGGGGAGTACTGATGCTCTGAGGCTGTGGAGCTCTGTCTCCAGAGCGGCCTTCCCCAGCAGTGGTCCTCCAGGCACGGCCAGCGGGGCCAGTGCTTCCCAGCACTCCTCACGTCACAGGGCGGTCTGCTTCTGCCTCTTGTGTGACCCTCCTAAAAGCATGCAACTTGGCTGTGCCACCTGCTAACCTCCATGAGCCTCAGTTTCCCCATCTATGACACGGGGATCCTGCTCCCTTGAAGGATTGTCATGGAGAGTAGAGGGACAGGTTTCAGAAAACAGTAGCAGGAAGGATGGCGATGATGGTGATGAGGGGGACACTGAGGCTCAGGAAGGCTGACCTGCTCTAGGCTTGCAAGGGCTGATTCCAAATCTGGAGATCTTGGCCCACTCCCTGCCCCCACCCCCGGGGTCTTCCACCCTGGAACCCCTGCTATGGGTAGGCAGCAGCCCATTCCTTCTAGCTCCTTCCTGAGAGGGAAACTCTGCCTTCAACTAACCCCTCCCTACCCCTAGGTCCTGGCTCTGCCCTTGGGGTGGGGATAGCCCTGTAGAGGGGCAGAGTGACCACACGTCCCTGGTGTAGCATGGACAGTCCTGTGACTCAGGAAATTCCTCATTCCTCAACAAATGGGACAGCTGGTCATCCTCACTGGGGCCTCTGACGGTCCCAGGCCTTCCTGCGTTACAGCTCAGGGCAGGGCTGCCTCCCCACAGCACTGCACAGAGGCAGGCTAAGGCTGGCTCGGCGGGCTTCCCAGGACCAGGCCACATCCAGAGCTCCCCCTGTCTCCCTGAGGCCCAGGATACCTCCTCTGGAGGGAGGCTCTGTCTGTGCCAAGGATGGGCAGACCCTCTTTCCTAGGTCTCTACTCCCTCTCCCACCCTGACTTGGGTGAGAAGGGCCACCACGTCTCAAGTCTGGAAGGTGACAACTGTGGGTGCCTGTGAGGAGAGGAAGGGGGACCCTGCAGGACAGCTTCATGGGAGCTCCAGCTGACATGACATTCCCAGACAGCTGACATTCCAGCAGGGGCTGCTGTCCAGCCAGTGGCACAGGCTGCAGCCATCCACAGTGGCGGGAGGAGCTCTGTCCAGGTGGGCTGGAGGATGGGGCCCAGCCTTCGACCCGGGGCTGCTCAGAGCGGGCCCCCACATTCTGAAACACTTTCTCACCTACCAGAAAGAAAGTGGGTATGGCGGCCAGTGGGGCCTCTTGCAGCCTCTTGCAGCCATTCCCCCATTCTCTGGCCCCCCAGCACCCACCTCCCAGGGACTGGGCACCAAGTCCCAAGGGCTCAGCCTCCAAGAGCAGAGGAAGGCCCGTTGCCATGGCAACCTCAGCTCAAGGCCTGCCCTCCTGGATTCTCTCTAGGGCACACCAGAAGGCAGCCCCAGATGGGTGGGTGGCATAGGACCAGGACCACTAAGGTGGGGAGGGCCCCAAGGTGGGGTGTCCAACAGCACGCCCTGTTAAACATATGCACAGGCCAGGGGTCTGAGCCGAGGACACGTGAGAAGAGGGGCTGGGCAGGTGGCCGGGCAGTGGGGAGACTAGAACCCTTGTGGGGAGTGGGATGGGGTGGGAGGTGGCCACCCCTCTCCTGGGGCCTGGTGGGAGGCCAAGTCCTACCCTTCAGTTGTCCCAAGAGTTCAGAAGCCCCCAGCTTCCTAGGGGAGAATGCAGGTTTGCAAGAACACCCAGACAGAGAAAAAGGAGTCTGTATCCACGTAAGAAATAAGAGCGTCTGCAATTCTTAAATAGATTTATGGAAATGGTTTCGAATTACAGCATTTAGAAAATAAAAATAATCTCAATACATATTATTCCCTCCATTATATACTTTTTTCCCCCCACAGAAGCCATTTTTGTGCACATGTATTCCACTGTTAAATAGTAATTGGATTTTATCCTATAAAAGAAGCAGTAGGTGTGTCATCTCTCTAAAAATAAAACTGCATCGTCATTGCAACGTGAAGCCTGAGATTTAAGCCTGAGGAGGTGTCCGTGCTGGGGCCCTCAGCCTGGGTCCTGGGCTGCTCCACAGTCTGTGGAGGTGCGCTGGGGTCCCAGGGAGTGCAGAGGGAAGGGGGTATTGGCAGCCCAATGGGTGACGTCCGGTGGTCCTCCGCCGCCCAGGGAGCCCTGGCCTAAGGACCCGGTAAACGTCTGCCTGTGGGTCTCAATGCTGTGTGGGCAGCCACCTGCTCCCCATCTGCAGGTGGCCAGTGGTGAGCAGACATCACCAGGGGCACCCCTGCTTGCCCAGAGGACCCCTGGGTCTGCTTCTGCATTTTCCCCTCTGAGAAGAAATGAGATGCATGCTGTTTAGCCAAGGTCCTGGGAGGAGTGGGGAGGGGACAGCACTGGGGAAGGAGGTGGGCAGCTGTGGGCTCAGGGCCCTGGAGAGACAAGGTCGCCCGGGCTTCCTGGCTCAGCAAGCACACGGGAAGCCCTGCAGTACGCTATGCTGGGGCCTGGTCCCTCTCCCCTAGGTGCCTACCATCTGCCCTGGGTTTAGCCCCAGGTGCCAAGGCTGCCTGGAGCTCAGACAACCACCCGACTTCCCCCATTAAGAGCGGGCGCTGAGCAGGCCTTCTGCCATGGCTGAGCCTCGAGGCAGCAACTCAGTGGGTCAGGGGCGCAGGCGGGAGAAGAGCCCAACCCCCAGGCAGCCACCTGGCACACCCCTGGGTACTCCCCTGGGCAAAGCGGACCTCCTGTTGGCCCCTGAGGCTGGCCTGGGGTCCCCATGGGTGGGGAGGCCGGGGTGGGTGGGATGGAGGCGCTGGACGCTCTGGAAGTCTGGGCAGCCTGCAGCGCCTGCGTTGGCGGTGGCAGCAGCTCGATGAAATGCACTGAAAACTCTCCAGCAGCCGCGGCCTGGATGGAGGAGGCAGGGAGCACGGCCCTCGGTGCCTCCTTCCTGGGAGTCCACAGGCCCTGGCGGTCTTGGGGAGTGTCTGGGCGCTGTGTCAGATGCCCGCCTTGTCGCTGTAGAAGGGTGTGACGTGAAACATATAGCAGTGCGTGCACACGCGGACCGGCTTCACCTGCCCATAGCGGGGCAGCGGCGCCGAGTGTGAGGAGCAGCGGGAGCAGAAGATCTGGAATGCAAGGAGTGGGCAGTGGGGACAGTGAGCCAGGGAGAAGGTCCTCAACAGCCCCCTCTCCATGTCTCACCCCTCCCTGACCATGGCCCCCATAGGGATGGCCCGGGGAGGACAGTGTCAGAGCCCTGAGCGCCGCCTGGCCTTCCTGCACATCCCTCCCACCCAGACCAGGCTGGGAGTTAGTGGGCGAGATCTGCTGGCTCCCTATGTGGGTCTGGGACCTTTAGGAAAGCCTGGGGCAAGTCTTGGCCCCAGGAGGCCAGGCTTGTGGAGGGGATCCTGGCACCACACCAAGGCTGCTCTCCTATTCAGACTCTCTGGCCTTCCTTGTCTCCACCTCTGAAGCAGTGGGGGCCGAGCACGGCACCATCTGGACCCAGTGGGCTGAGTGCCCGGAGTCCACGCCCTGTGCCAAGTCAGAGCAGGGCCCGGGGCTCAGAGGCCTCGCCAGCCTCTTGGGGCGTCAGTCCTGACTTCCAGACCCTCGTGCTGTGTCTGTGGATGGCCCCGGGACACCCTGCACCACCGCATCCCACCTACCTTCCCACAGCTGCGGCAGTGGTGCTTCCGGCGGATGACGGTGAAGGGTGCTTTGCATGCCGTGCAGAAGCCACAGGCCTCATCTGGGACCCACTCGGGCGGGTCTGTGACAACGACAGTGGGGGACACATCAGCCAGAGGGAGCCACACAGCCCCGCTCTCCTCTACAGTTCTCCTCTAGACTCCTTTTCCTGACTGTGGTTCTAGGAAGGTGACAGCATCACAGGGACGAGCCAGCCTTCTCAGCTATCATCAGTGCCCAGCTTCAGCCTGTGTCTTGCCCCAGACCAGGCCACCTGCACTCAGGACACCGGTGGCGAGTGTCCAACCTCTCCCGAGCTTCTGGCCAGCACTCAGCCTGGCAGGGCCCTTGGCATAGGTGGGGGCTTAAAATGAAGAAACCACCCCCGGAGAAGTTCTCAGGTTCTCGGAGGGCCCTGCTCCTCCTGACACCTGTGCAGCCCAGGCCAGGACCAGGGGCCTCCTCCTCCTTCCCCAGGGCACGTGGGGCCCGTCCTATCTCACTTCTCAAGGTGCTCACTAGTGGAAGCCTCTGGCATGTTTGCTCTGGAATTCGGGAGGTGCATCAGCACAGGGAGAAGCTGGCTTGCAGGGCAAGACAGGCAATTCCACCCATCGTGGGCACTGAGATGCCCACAATGTGCCCAGCCCTGAGGCCAGGACTGACACCCAGAGGGGGAAAGAGACACCTGGGATCTCTCCCTCGGGCCACAGAGCGCCCTCAGAGGTCTCCAGTCCACCTTCACACAACCCCCAGACCTGACTCCAAGCCCTGCGCCCTCAGGTCTCGCCTCCAAATGGAATTCAGCAAGGCTGCCTGTCCACGCAGGGTCTCCCCACCTCCTTCTCACCCTCCTCCTCACCTACCGTACTCCCACCGAGCTGCTCCTCCTCCTGCCTGCATGGACCCCGCAACTGCCTCCCACCCAACTCTCCTGGCTTCCATTCTGAACCCCATCAACCCATTCCCACACTGCAGGAAGACCATCTCTCACGCTTGCCACCACCTGTGTAAAATCCTGCACTGGCTCCAGTGAAGCCCTGGACCGCAGCACAGCCGCTGGAGGTCAGCCCCTCGCCTGGGGAGGACTGTGAGGGTCCTGAGGACTTCCTGGGCCTGGCACCCCCTCCTCTGGCCAGGGCCCAGGCCTTGCCACGGGGGACAACTTCCAGGAGGGGGTTGTGTTGACAGCCCAGGAAGGTCATGGCCCCTGGCTGTGTGCTGGGCAAGTCCAGACCTCACAGTGCGTGACACTCATTCCTTCGAGAGCAGAGGGGTTCTGAGTTCCTGTGACAAGCGCTTTCACAGAAAGGTAGAGAAGACTGAGGCTCAGGTTGCTTAGGAAGCTGGGAGCCTGTGCTGCTCCTGACTCCTCCCCCAGCCTCTGTCGCCCGCAGGGGACAGTGGTGAAGCTGGCCTCAGTGTGTGCCCCGGTCACCGAGGAGCATTGAGGGAGGGCCTGAGCTGGGGACCAGTAGAGGCCAGCCCAGCCAGCCAGGCACACTGGGAGTGGTGTGACCTCTGGCCTGTCACAGGGTCAACTTCAGCTTTCTTCTCGGCTCTGGTCACATTCGACACCTGGTCAGGCCTATCTGCCACCACCCATCTCAGCGCCTCTCCCAGGCCTTTAGCCCCTCCAGCCCAAGTCTTGGGCTGCCCCCTTCCCATAGATGTGCTGCCAGTGCCCGCAACCTGCCTGGATACTCCCTCTCTGACTGCCAAGCCAATGGGCCTCCAGTCGGCCAACCTCCAGGCTAGTGGGGGAGCAGGGTCTGCAGCCCCCCGTGAGGAAGGCTCCTTGTGACTCTGGCAGGTAGCTCCCCGGATGCCACCATGTGAGGCCTTTCCTGTGGTGGAGGTGAATGCTGGGGGTAGGTGTGTGCCAGTGCCCTGGGACCAGCGACCCCTAGCTGCAGCCAAAGGCCTGGACCCTCTGGGGAGGGGCCCCCCACTGGAGGATCACTGCCTTCCTGTGGTCCAGGGCAGAGAGATGGAAACGTCCAGACAGGGTCCTGCTGCTCTTTGCTCATGCAGCATGTTGGCCCCTCGCCCAGAGCACCCCACTCACCTTCTAAGTCACCGTCGTGGGTCTTGGTTGCAAGCTCAGAGGATGACAGTGTCTCCTGGCACAGGGCGCAGTCCTCCAAGGCTGCATTCCGCAGGGTCTGGGTGACTGGAAGAGGAAGGGCAGGCGCTGGGTCAATGAAGCATCACCTGTCCCTGCTGGGTGTGCCTGGGTACTGTCAGCAGGGGCTCTGCTCCCTGAAACCCGCTCAACCATCCCTTGACATCTGTAGGTTGGGTGTTGACTGCGGCCGCAGGCCTTTCCCCCTGAACGCCCTGAGGTGTGCAGCTGCTCCTGCCCTGGGCCCTGCGCTGTCTGTGTGAGGTCAGGTGCCCCTGGACTGTGACTCCCGAGGCAGGCAGGGGACTCGGCCTAGACATGGCCGAGGGGCCCACCATCCTTGCTTGTAGAACGGGTCTACCTCACCTGCCTTTTCTGAACCATAATGTTCCAGAAGGTAGCCCTGCCTAGAATTCCCTGACGGACAGGGGCATGCAGCCTGGTGGAGCGGGTATGGGGAGGCAGAGCTGGGTCGGCACACAGGATAGGCTCTATTCCTCCTCCCTACCAGTGAGGACAGGCCCTGTAGGCTGGTGTGGGCTCCAGGGCCAGGGCCAGCTGCTCCGTGTGCCCAGACATCCTTGAGCAGAAGCCCTTGTGATGAGGGACATCTCACCCAGAACAGATGCCTCAGGCCAGCACGAGGGGTGGATGAACAGAGGTTGGGCCTCCTCCCCATGCTATGTGATTGGGTGCATGCACATGTGTGAGTGCATGTGAGTGTGTGTGCAAGAGAGCAGACATATGTGCCTGTGATATGTTGAGTGCATGTAAATACATGAGGCAGGTCATATTTGGCCACAGGTCATAGATGACCACCCCTGCATTGAGAGGTAAGGCCTACCCCCCTCCTTGACTCTGGGCTGGCCTCTGACTGCTTTGGCGGACAGAATTCGGTAGAAGTGACACTGCCACATCTGGGTCTCTCTCTGAGAGGAAGAGCACCATGCCTCCCAGCCTGTCAGCGCTAGGAAGTCAGGTCGCCTTGCAGGAGCGTGTCAGTGGGAGAGGAGCAGGTGCTGCATGCTTGGGCGTGTGTCTGGGGTCGTGACCCACCTGCAAAGCTGCAGGGGGTGGTGCCACTTCTCTGGGCAGGTGGCCTCTCAGGGCGCTTCCAGGGTCTATGTCATGCGCCCTTTGGTCCTCCAGCAGGTAGCCTGGCACTGCTGGGTGGTTTCCACTTGGAACATGGCAGGTCATATAGGAGGTGGGTGGCTGTGGAGAGGCCATATTTGTCCAGGGCTGGGAGCCCAGGTTTCTGCAGGACCCACTTCCTGGGGACAGTGACGCGACAGTCCCTGTCCTGAGCTGGCACTCACCCTTCTTTAACTTTTCCTTGTCATCCGTTTCCGGCTTGGTGGCCATGACCTCAAAGAGGGTCTTGAGAATGCTTCTCAGATCACTGGCATAGTTCGTCTGCAGCTGGTCAGCCACACCTGGGGAGGAGGCCGAGGGGGTCAGGCTGATCAGCGCGGAGGGCTGGCTGGTGAAACCCGACCAGAGCTCATGACCGGAGACCAACACGTCCTCAGGTTGGTCAGGGCAAGAGGCCGCCCAGCCCTGGGAGACAATTCCTGCAGGACAGCACTGTCTGAACCCCTCACCATAGGCGGGGGATGGAAGGGCAGCAGGAGGCCAGGAGGGGGGACCTCACTGCACACTTTTTATAGTTTTGAACCACATGAATGCATTCATTATTTAAAGGGAAATGTTAAAAAGACACTTTTTTGTTCACTCCCCTCTCTGAATTCCCTGGGAGATAGAACAGTTATCTTTGCCCTCACCTTGCTGCTGTGCAACCATCCCCAAAGGAGAAAGGAAAAAAAAGTGCAATAAAATCCCACCGCAAATTGAACAGAACCTCCCTGCGTGGGCAGCCGAGGGGCCAATGGAGCAGAAGCGGGTTCCTTCTTCTGCAGCTCGGGACCCTGGGGAATAAGTAAGCCCTCCTCTTTACTGCACACATGGCCTCATCGTGGGCTTAGGATGATGAAATGACACAGTAGGGGAGCCCCCAGACAGGGCTGGGCATGAGGGGGCTCCTCAGACCTGGCACCACCAGCGCCCAAACGTCACTGGACATCAGCTAGCACCACTCACACCCTGACATCAGCAGGGCGCTGCCCCTGCCCGGCATCAGCCGCCCCCCTAAAGTACAGCCCTCATGTGTCTGCAAGCCCACACCCTGCCCCAGGGCCCACACCCCACCCCAGGCCCAGAACTGGCACCTGAAATACAGACAAATAGGCGGTGGATCAGGTCATGGCTGCCGTGGAACCTGGACCGGATCTTCTCTCTTGTGGCTGCAGGGACCGCATCCGGCCCGGTCTTGTCTGAGGAGCTGGAACCAGCCGTGGAGCCGCTGCACAGAGAAGGAAATACAGGGTATATGGGGTGGGAGCTTGGCAAGGGGCTTCTGGAGCCTGAAAGCCAGTGAGTGAAGACAAAAGTCTGTGTGCCCTGGAGGCTCCCGTTCCTCCAGCTGAGCTACCCCGACTTTCCTAGAACCTAAGTTTAGGATGTCGTCAAGTCGCACCGCCACCTAAAGAGTGGCACAGCAGGGCTTCTGACCCAGTGCCCCCTTCGGCTACCTTTGATCTCCTCTGCCCTGAGGCACCACTCCCAACTCCTGCCGTCTCCTGGTGTCGACTCTCAAGCTCAGGCCGCCCCTTCTTGCGTGCCTGGTTTAACACTATCTACTGACTTCCTCTGTGGAAGATCCAACTCACCTACTTATATGCTCTGCAGTGGGCTGAATGGGGGCCCCCCAAAAGACACATCCACATCCTAACCCCTGGGACCTGCATACGTGACCTTATTTGGAAAAAGGGTCTTTGCTGCTGTAATCAGGTGAAGGATCTCAAGAGGAAAAGATCATCTTGGATTATCTGGTGGCCCTAATCCAATGACAAATGTCCTTATAAGAGATGGGAGAGAAGACACAGACACACGGGGGAGAGGAGGATGCTGTGAGAAGATGGCAGAGATTGGAGTGATGCGGCCACAAGCCAAGGGACGCCTGGAGCCACCAGCACCTGGAAGAGGCAGGAAGGAGCCTCCCCAGAGCCTCCAGAGGGAGTGTGGCCCTGCTGGCCTCCAGACTGTGAGAGGATTAATTTCTGTTGTTTCAAGTTCCCAGTGTGGTACCTTGTTACTAAGACACGCTCCTTCCCACCACCACACACGTCCCTCCTCACTTCCCAGCAGCATCACCTCCGCCCAGTGCAGAAGGAGCCTGGGCTGGAAGAGCCAGAGTTTCATGGGTTCCCTTTCTTCAGTTGAGTGTGTATGTAGGGGCAAGGGGGTGTGCATGAATGTGCGTTTTATTGGCAAACCCTGACATAATGAATATTCGTTTATGAATATTTGCTGTTTCATTGGAACATGGAGGTGCCCCGGGAGGCTGGGAGTGGAGCTGGGCGTGCCAGCCAATGGGACTTGCTGCTCTCCTGGGACCCTGCTGATGATCCACAGCTCTCCCTGCTGGGCCGCTGGGTTTCCAGAGACAAAGCCCCCGACTTTCAGCCTGAGAGTGTGGGCCCGGCTGGCCCCACCCTGGGAGCTGAGTAAGGAAAGGGGGTGGGTGTCCAGGGTGTCAACTTCCATTCAATAGCCCCAGTCTCAGTGGACAGCCTCATTCCAAAGATTTGAAAGTAGAGACTCAAAAAATACGTGTACACAAGTGTTAGGAGAAGCACTCTTTGTGATAGTCAGAAGATGGAAACAACCCAAATATCCATCAGCAGATGAATGGATAAACAAAATGTGGTATATCCATACAATGGAATATTATTCAGCCATAAAAAGGAATAGAATTGACACATGCCACAACATGGATGAACCTGGAGGACATTCTGCTCAGTGAAATAAGCCAGACACAAAAGGACAAACACTGTATGATTCCACTTATGTGAGGTACTTAGAGTTGTCAGATCCATAGAGACAGAAAGTAGAATGGTGGTTTTCAGGGGTTGGGGGAAGGAGAAATGTGGAGTTAATGTTAAATGGGTAGAGTTTTAGTTTGGGAAGATGAAAAAGTCCTGTAAATGGATAGTGGTGATGGTTACATGACACTGTGAATGTACATAATGCCACTGAATTGTACACTTTAAAATGGTTAAAATAATAAATTTTATGTTATATAGAATTTACCTAAATAAAAAGGTGGAAAAAAATGATTTAGGGCAAAGGGAGAGCAGAAGAAAAGGAGCTGAGGAGGTCTGTATGGCAAAGAGGGCTGGATTGGCTTGGCATCTGATACCAAAGGTTAAGAGTGAATACACGCTAAAAACCGCTGAATTGTCCACTGTGAAAGGGTGAAATTTACAGTATATATACTATATATCAACAAAGCTGTTATTTCAGAAAACCAATTATATTTAGATATAGTAGCAATGACATAACTAAAAATGAAATTGAGAGACAATCCCATTTACAATAGGATCAAAAAGATTAAAATACTTGGGATAAATTTAACAAAAGAAGTGTAAGAGTTATACACTGAAACCTGCAAAATATCACTGAAAGAAATTAAAGACCTAAATTAATGGAAAGACACACTGGGTTCATGGATTAGAAGATTTAATATTGTTAAGATGGCAATAGTCTTCAAGTTGGTCTATAAGTTCAATGTAATCCATATCAAAATATCAGTTGCCGTTTTTTCCCTTGCAGAAATTGACAAGCTGATCCTAAAATTCAAGTGGAAATGCAAGGGACCCACAATAGCTAAAACAATCTTGAAAAAGAAAAAAACAAAGTTGGAGGACTCACACCTGTGATTTGAAATTTAATGTGAAATTATAAGAATCAAGACTGTGTGGCACTGGCATAGAACAGACATGATAATGGAATGGAATTGCGAGTCCAGAAGAAAATCCATATATTTATGGGCAACTGGTTTTCAACAAGGGTGCCAGGACCATTCAATAAGGAACAAATAGTCTTTTCAACAAATAGTGCTGGGAAAACTGGATTTCCATGTGCGAAAGAATGAAGATGGACTCTTACCTTACACCATATGCAAAAATTAACTTGAAATAGATCACAGATCTAAATGTAAGAGCTAAAACTCTAAAATTCTCAGAAGAAAACATGGAAGTAAATTTTTGTGGTCTTGGATTGGGCAAGAGTTTCTTAGGTATGACACAGCAACCAAAGACAGAACTGATAAACTGGACTTCATCAAAATTAAAAACTTTTATGCTTCAAAGGATGCCATCAAGAAAGTAAAAGAAACCCACAGAATGAGAGAAAGTTTTTGCAAATCGTGTATCTGATAAGGGTGTAGTATCCAGAATACAGAAAGAACACTTACAACTCAACAATAAAAAGATAAATAGCCCAATTAAAGAATGGCCATGGATCTGAATAGACATTTCTCCAAAGAAGATATACAAATGGCCAATAAACACATGAAAATATGTTCAACATCATTAGTCATTTGGGAAATGCAAATCAAAAGACAATGTGATACCATTTTATACCCATTAGGATGACTATAATGATAATTTTTTTAAAAAACAGAAAATAAGTATTGGGTGAGATATGGAGAAATTGGAACCCTTGTACATTCCTGGTGGGAATCTAAAGTGGAGCCGCTCACTGTGGAAAACAGTTCAGCAGTTCCGTATGACCCAGCAATTCTACTCCTAGGTATATACCCAAGAGAACTGAAAACGTCTGTTCACACAAAAATTTGTACATGAGTGTTCATAGCAGCATTATGTGTAGTAGCCAAAAAGTGGGACCGACCGAAATGTCCATCAACTGATAAATGCGTAAACAAAAGGTGCTCTATCCACTCCATGGAGCTCATTTCCAGCCACACAAAGGAAGGAAGTATGCTAGAGGCTACAATGTGGATGAACCTTGAAAACATTAGGCTAGGTGAAAGAAGCCAGTCACAAAAGGCCACGTAGTGTGTGACCCCATTTATTGGAAATGTCTAGAATAGGCAAATCAATAGAGACAGAAAATAGATTAGTGGTTGCCAGTAGCTGAAGGGAACCAAGAGTGGGGAGTGACTGCTAACTGGTACAGGGTTTCTTTACGGGATGACGAAAATGCTCTGGAATTAGATAATGGTGATGGTTGCCAACTCTGTGAATATACTAAAAGCCACTGAATCGTACACTTGAAAAAATAATAAAAGAATGTTTTTCTTGTAATCATCTAGCAAACTCATATTCAAGAAATAGCTCATAAGCTAAATGTCCATCAACAGTAGGTTGACTCAATAAATGAGGTCACATCCATACAACTTCTACTTTGTAGGAGGATATAGTTAATGATGCTGGAAATGCTAAAGTACTAAATGAGAAAGGTAGCATTTTAAGAATTAGAGATATCACATGTACATAAATGAGAGGTTGGGAAATATATTCAAGGCAAAGCATTAATATTACATTTAGTTGAATACTAGGACTACAGATAAATTGTTATTTTCCAAAGTGTCCTCTATGATCAAGTGTTACTTTTGTGATCAGAAGAATAAATGTTATTTCAAAGAGAGGAAGTGCCTGCCGGCAGCAGATGGCCCCTCCGCCCTGCTGTGGCAGGGAGTTTGTCTCTAAGTGCAGGTGGAAGGCAGCTCGGGAAGGCAGCTCTGGGGCTCAGCCCTGTAGCCTCAGCCCCTGATGTATGCCCTGGAGGCTGGGCAGTCTTCCCGGACGACACGCTGCTGCTGCATACAGCTCCTGGGTGAGAAACCAGGGGAAGGGCCCTGACTTTCAATGGAGAATTGAGGGCTATGAAACTTCAAGTGTCTACTGCTGCATAAAAGAGCAATTAATTCTCCCAGCAGATTAAGACTGAGGCCAAGGCTGGTGGATCCGTCAGCGGGTGGGTCAGACCTTCAACCCCAGTCTCAATCCCAAACATACTTCGCTTTGGTGGGGAAAACCCCTCTCCCGCTGCTCTGCCCTGAGCCACGTGAAGCTCTGGCAGAGTGATGGAGGGAGCCAGAGAGAAAGAGGAGCCAAAGCCTCCATAAAGAGACTGCTCCTGGACAGAAGGTCAGCGCGGTGCTGCCCACAGGGAGCCCGCTGGGCTTGGAAGGGCTGAGCGGCACAAAAGAGCAGAAAGCTGGAGGTAGACCCAGGATTTCACCTTGGACCTGTCTGGGTCAGCCTGGTCTCTCAGGGCCATGTGGATGGGCATTGTTTGGGCACCGGGAGGCCCAGGAACACTGCCCAAGGCCACCCTTGTAGAAGGGTGCTGACCCTCCATGGGCAGTTGCTGGGCACACAGGGTGAGGATATAGAGGAGGGTCCCAGGGATGAATCAGACCTTGTGTGTGCCCCCCAAGAGCCCAGTCTAGAAGGGGAGCCACGCATTAACCAGGCAGAGCTGAGAGGCCGG